CGCCGCGGGCGGCGGATCGGGACCGAGCGCCCCAGTGGAGTTTCCTTTCCAGTGGTGTGGACAGTGACTCGGGGGCGCACGCGAGCAGGCCAGTCATGCGGGCGACGCGCTGGGGGCCTGGGCGCGGCCGCGGCGCGATGATGGAGTCCAGAGGCGCCGAGGCGACTGAATGAATGGACAGGCCTTAGCGATGGGTTCAGAGGGAGGAGAAACGACGCCCAGGTTTCTGGAGCCGTGACAGAATGGATGGCGCTGCCATTTGCTACAGTATAGAGAAGGGAGAGCGGGTTCGGGGGAGGGGGTGAGTTCAGTTTTGGATACGTGGACTTTGAGATGTTCAGAAGGTATTTAGCCGCATGGCCTGAAGCTCAGAGAACAAGGCAGAGAGAGGTAATGAGAATAGATAGGGGTGAAAAAAGTGTCTTAGTAAAGAGACCAGAGCATGGAGCCCAGGGACTGGCTGAGGACAACCAAGAGAAAGCAAGGTTACTGACGCAAGGAAGGCGTTTTCCAAAATTTGAGACTTAGTCAACATGTCCAGTGTTCAGTCTGTTGATTAAAAAGCACCCGTTGTTTAATTATTTTTAGCAACTAGTATAGCATTATTTGTAGGGTGTATGTATGTGTGAACACTGTTGTGATCGTCCATGTACCTCAGCAGTGCCTTTTCTCTCTGTCTGGCACTATCCTAGGTACCTAGAACACGGTGATTCTAGTGGGGAGGATAAACAATACACACATTAACCAATGAAAATAATTTCAGATGCTAAGTGATGTGAAGATTATAAAACAAGAGATTATGGAATGCAGAAGTTTCAGTGACATATGCAGTACTAGGAGCAGAATCTAGATTGTAGTCAGGTAGGAAGATTTTTTTATAGAAATCTGGTTTTCAAGAGGAAACAACTTTTTTTTTTTCTTTTTTTTTTAAATGAAAAGCCATGTTTTCAGGTTGAGGAGAAGGAGATTTGGGGGAAGAGGAGACAAGGGGTCTCTCAATAGGGGCATGGGATCGGATGGGCACCTTCTGAGACAGGAAGAAATGACTTAGAATATGTATAAAGATAGATGTTTCTAGATTCGGACGTAAGAACTTGTATGATGACAGTTTTCTTTGTGAAATAGAAGGCCAAGTTTTCTTCTAGGGCTGGGGAAAGGGAGCTACTGGAAGCAACAAAAGTGAGGGTGGGTGAAAAAGTGCTGTTGAGAATGGAGGGGAACCCCTTGCAGGTGCATTCATGGACACCTTGTGATTCTCAAGATCCAGCTCCTGTGAGATTGGAGACTGACTGTTCTCCTTGTGGTTTTTTTCCCCCTCCAGCAGCATTCGGCCACCTAGGAACCTGAGCACCTTAGGTGAATGGTAGCTGATTCAAGTAGAGGGTTAGCAGGGGACATATGCCAGAAGGATGGAAGTGGGAATGGAGGGCAAGGAGTTTGAGGGTCTGCCCAGAAAGAGGCTGAGCCTAGCCTGGATAGAGATGGAACTGAGCCAGGCTCTTAATGGGCTGGACAGAAGGCAGGAGGTGTTCTTCCTGAGATCAAAGAGCAGGTGCAGTGAGAATAGGAAGCAGCACCGTGGATGGGTAGGAGAGGCTGTGATCAGAAAGTAGGATGCTGGAATGTAAATTCCAGATGTGGAGCAGTTACAGGTATTGGCTGTAACTGTCGGCATTGAGGAAGGGTTGTACGAGGAGAGGAGGTCAGAGAACTGAAACTAGGATTGTCGAAAGTGTTCAAGATGATTTCCTGAAGTAGAAAGGAAAAGTGAGCCAGATGCCTGCCTACCCTGTGAAGATATTGTTACCTACATTTAAAAATAATTATAGGTGATGAAACTGAGACCTGGAGAATCTGAGTTAATCGTTTAAGGTCACACAGATAATAAACTTAGTCGAGTGGTATCCTCATGACAGCATGGTTCATAGGCAGCACCTTAGGGAGTCACAACAGTCCAAGGTCTGGTTTCATTTCAGGGCTCAGTGATGGATGTTCTCAGCACATTCAGAGATGTCTTCTCTTTAACAGACTTGCTAACTGGTGAATAAACCCGGACACCAATTTTCCAGCATATAATGGAAGGCATGCCTTCCTAATGATTGGAATGCCTAGTGTCCTTCCAAGGACCCCTTCTGTGCTTTGGAGAAGTCTTTCAGAAGTTGCTGGGTGAGCATGGGCTCAAACCAAGGAAAGTCATTAAAATTGGGTGGACATTATCTCACCTCCATTAATAGGTGACAGCTTCCAAGTGTTTGGACTTGTATTCTCCCGGTCCAAAATGCTGGAGAAATGCTGACCACTTTTATTTTCTCTGCATCCTCTCACCTTAACTTTTTGACATTTTCTTTAGGCGAGGGTCCAGTTAGTCCCATTTTCCAAGGGGTCTTGGGAGACAGTCTCCTTCCCCTCCGAAGCAGAGATAGTAAGCATGAGCATAATTGGTTCCAAATTTTTTTGAATTAATAACTTCTCTATAACCATGAGTTCCAATTATGATTAACGTGAAAATGTCACAACTTCTCTTGAGGGAAAAGTAAATTTAAACATTACTCTGACAGTATTATGCATTTATATTACATAACAAACTATTATTACAGTCTAGAAACTAGATAGTAACTGTAACATAAATAGTCGATTTTCTGGTTGTTTGGAAGCTTGGAAAATTAACAAAAAGTGGTAGTACAAGAACAGCAATTGGAATCATTTTTGTACGATATAGTTGAGTTTTTACACAAAACATCTTTCAATGCAAGAAAAATGGAAAGTGAGGAAGGCTTCCATGTGCAGATATGCATCAGATGAGGTTAAGAAGAAAGGCAGCATAATATTGTATCGGTACTGCCTAATTAACTTCTCCAAGTTAGTGGCTTAAAACAACATTTATTAACTCACAGTTCTTAGGTCAACAATTTGCGCTGGGTTCAATTGTATAGTTCCACTGATCTTTGCTGGGCTCTCCTATGCATCTGCAGTCAAATGGAGGGTTGGCTGGTGGCTGATTCATTTAGGATGGCCCCGCTCATGTGTCTGGATGTTGCTAGGCAGGTGGCTGGGGTTAGATGACTGGTTCTCTTCCACAAGACCTCCAATTGATTAGCTTTGATTAGCTTGGGCTCATTAGATGGTGATTTTAGGGGTCCAATCACAGCAAGAGAGGTAACTGCAAAGGCTCTTAAGGCCTAGGCTTGGAACTTGCCCATTATTTCTACTGCATTCTCCTGGTCAAAGCAAGTCCTAAGACAAGCCCAGATTCAAGAAGTGGGTAAATAGAATCCACCTCTTGGTGGGAGGAGCTGCAAAATATTGTGACCGTTTTGCAGTCTGCTACAAATGTATTGCTAAGTATGTGTCAGCGTTATTCTAAGTGCTTTACATAAGTTAACTCCACCTAATTTTTTTGTCACATCACTCCAATGAGGTAGGTACTATTTATTACTAAATACATTTCACTGAGAAGTTAAGAAACTGAATTTGAGTCAAGGCAGTTTGGTTCCAGAGGCTACATTCTCAGCTGATAAGCTGTCCTGCCTCAAAAGCATGGCGGAAGAACTCTGTCACTTGTTTAGACCAAGGATAAGGTCCAGCCTTGTAAACATTGAGATAGTTTGCCCACATGGCAAACCTGGATATATCAGTGCATGCTTTATAAGTGAAAACTTGTAAACGGAGTACTAGAATAAGCTCTATTTAGTCTCAAAACTAGGATTCGAAATGGGTCAAATACATGGCTTTTTCGTTCCTTTGTTGATTAAGCAACTAAACCAAAAATATCCTAAATCAGAGTTCATAGAAATTGTAATTTTTCCTCTTTAGAGTTCAGTTATTAGAACTTTCAGCAAGAAAGAGACTTTTGGAGGTCACAAAAAGTGTGATCAAAAAAAAAAAAGTGTGATCAGGTAGCACGATAATTTTTTGGAATATCCAGTGGCTGCTGGATCTGGCTGTGAGCAACACGTCAGGCGGTGGTCCTTTCGTTTCAGGTCTCTCAGGCGGCGGCCGAGCTTCAGCAGTACTGCATGCAGAATGCCTGCAAGGACGCCCTGCTGGTCGGCGTTCCAGCTGGAAGCAACCCCTTCCGGGAGCCCCGGTCCTGTGCTTTACTCTGAGGACTGGTGAGTAATGATGCACCGTGCCAGCCTGGGGCCATGGCATTAGCACAGGGCTGCCCAAAGGATTTGGGCAACTGTGTTTTGAATATTATTCTTGGGGGAATTAAAATAAAAAGCAGCAAAATGTACAACTGTCCCTGAAGGGTGGCTAATCTATATTTACCTTGCCTGTGGATTACATCTAATTAGGATAGCATCTCTCAATCCTCTTTGGCACTAACTCATAAGGTGTTGATATCCTTATGTACTTGAACTCTTTAACTGAGTTGGCTGGTGGTAATTTCTTGAATTTAATCCTACTCTCTCCTTACACCATCCCAGAATTGTCATTTGCTGCTTGGTGCTATCAACTGCCTTGCTACTCTTGGGACTAAGGACTCCCAGAGGCGGAGGCTTGCTCCCACCAACAGCTGTGGTTTCTTTCCTAATGGCTTTCAGAATATATTTGTTTTAATGGAGGAAGCTTTAACATAGCTACTGGGGAAAAGCGTGAGTCCAGTTAAAAGAGCTTTAAAAGCTGATTATTGAAATGAAAACATCTCTTTGGCGGCATATTAGAAATTTCATGGTTCTAATGCATTGTATGGAGCCTCATTCACATTTTCACATTTTTTCCTTTTTGGAAGAGTTCAGAGCATAGATTGATTATTGGAGTCTTTTTGGGGTCAACATGTTTCAAATTATGTGTTCTAAGAGGTTTTCATACAGTAGGTAATCATCTTAGGTCCTTTTTCACATACATGTAAAAGAAATTATTCACATTAAAAAGAAGAAAGTAATTATACTATCAGGTAATATTGTCCCTTTTAATGGAAAATGCCCAAATTTATGGTATTAAGGTAAGTTTTATGCTGGCATAGCATTTTTCTTTTTACAGAGCAGTTTCATGGGTACTACTCCTTCAATGGTGTGATTTGGATTTTTAAAAATGAACTTGCTACTCTCTACTTTGAGAATACTAAAGTGCTATATGAAATGACTAATTTTATGTATAAATCTCACGAAAGTGAAAATTGACCAAATTTTCTTTCCTGTAGGAAAGAAGTTCGCTGAGGAATGCTTTCAATGCAAAGTAATGAATGACTGCCTCCAATCTCAAGAAAAAACATTTTTTCTCTAACCAAATAACTTTGAGATATTTCAGACCCTTCCCGTGGCCTGGTCCTATAGCCAAAATTCTACAGAAATTGATGAGTTTCTACTCAAATAAGGAAATTGGGTAAGGGAGTAGACTTTTAAATAAAAATGGCTTGGTTTATTTGGTGAAGTGCTTTATACTTAAGACAAACAAAAACCTTACCATCAAATATACCAAAATGTTCCTCTTTCATAAGTGAATTTCTAGTGTTTCTATACCAGGAATATTATGTATGTTTTATTTACTGGATGTTTACATTTGGAGAAGGAAAACATTTTTGTTTTTTAAAAAAAAAAAAAAAAACTGAATATTTGTAATTAGTTGTTCCTAAGATTTTTGCACCATAACAAAATTTGTTCTTTTCTCATGAATTTATAATTTCCAAATGAAGATAAGCCAGTGTAAAATCGGAGGAAGAATAGGCTTTATTAAATCAAATGATGTCTTGATTTTTCTAAATGGGAAGATTGTTTAATTTTTAACACTAATCATGGGAGCTGTCTGTTTTTAGCAAACTCGTTTGGAAAGATCAATGTTGTGTCGTGCGTTAGAGTGCACCATCCTGTGTATGAAGCAGAGTTGATCTTTGTCTTAAGTTCTTCTACTTTATAGTTGCGGTTGTACTTTAAAAAAATACTGAATTATTTCATGTCTTTAAAAAAATGTTTAAAATGTGACTTAAAGAACATTGCAAATGATTAAAAACAAAGTAACATGAAAATCTTACAAATTAAATGAATTCTTAATGTCATAAGTGTTTTTTACTTTGTTGATGTGCCTTTGATTTTATTTGGAACACTTTTCAAAGGATATTTTATTTGTGTTTGTAATAATCTTTGAAGAGCTTGAAAATAAAATTTCTGCTTAATTCATCCTTTTCTATGACAGCAACATTTTGTATCTGATTTTGTTTTAAGGCTTTATGGATTTCTGTTTGCTTGTGAGATTGAGTGCTGGGAGGTGAAATTTTTTATAAGTACTTTTTATAATACTTTTATCTATTTTTGTAAAAAAATAGTTACTGAGATATTTATACCTATGTATAAACCCATAATTACATGAAAATATCTTTGAGTATAAGTAGTGTTTCAATAGAGAAAATAACAGCCATTAGATGAGAACTCCTTTAACTTCTGGCCACGAAACTTCCAAATCTAAGCAATCTGAATCCCTTTCATGCAATCAGAATTCATGTATCCCTTTCTAAGCCCTCTATTTGGTCTCTGAATCTGTTTCTCCGTCTCTGAAATGTCACATTATCAATCAACTATCCTTTCTCTTCTTTATCTTCAATTTCTTTATTGGATCCTTTCTATCAGCATTGAAACATGTTCCATTGTCCATCTTAACAACAATAAGCATTTTTTTAAAAAGCTCCATTAAAAAAACAACTTTGGCTTACAAGAAGAATTTAGTCCTAGAGATCTGCTATACAGTGTAGTGCCTATACTTAACAATACTGTATTACATACTTAAAAATTTGCTAAGAGGGTAGATTTAATGTTTAGTGTCCTTAACACACACACACAAGGACAGGAGGAAACTTTTGGAGGTGATGGACTGGTTCACGGTATAGATTGTGAGGGTGGTTTCATAGGTATATACTTATCTCCAAACTCATCAATTCGTATACATTAGTTTTAGATAGTTTTTTTATGCCAAAAAACCCACAAAAACTTCTCTTTATTTCACTTTTCCCTTGACAAAATCTTGGTAAGATAGTGTAAGAAAACTATAACAGCTCACTTATGAATACAGATGTTAAGTGTCCTAAATATAAGAAATCAAATTCAGTAGTATATCAAGAGAAAATACAAAGTTAATTCAATATAAGGAACTCTATCAATGTAATGCGTTACATAAATGGCTTAAAGAAAAGAATCTATGCTGACAAGTCATTTAATAAAATTCAATAGCTGTTCTGAATAAAAACTAAGTGGATTAGTGAAATAGGAATAGAAGGAAATTAAAGATGATTAAGACAATTTGTCAAAACAGCAAATTTTATACTGCATAGTGAAGAGTGGAAATAGCGTATTAGGAACAAGAGCACGTTTTATCACCGCTATATGGCATTACTTTGGAATTCTTAGCTCATGCAGTAAGATGAAAAAAAGAAATGGTATAAACATTTTAGGAGCTATATCTGTATTTATGGGTCATATAACTATATACCCCGAAAACTCGTGAGAGTCTAGTAAAAGCAAAACTTGAATTTGTAATAATTTGAGAGGCTGGCCAAATACAAAGTATAGTTAGAAGGTTAGCCTTATCTGTATGACAACAGCTACTTAGAAACGGAAATGGAAACTCACGTGCCATTTGTAGTGACAAAATGGTAAAAATACTTGAGAATAAATTAACGGTGCAAATCACAAAAGGTTTTATTGATGTTTATAGAACAGGGCCTACATAAATTACAGGATATTAACACTTACTAAAATGCAATCTTTTTTTACAATTAAGTTTATTGGGGTAATATTGGTCAATACAATCATAATTTTCAGGTGTACATTATCATTTGACAACTGTATATTCTATTGTATGTTCACCACCCAAAGTCCAGTTTCTTTCAGCTAAAATGCAGTCTTAATTTCATATAACTTTAGTGGAATTCCTGTTTTATTTTTTTTGAGGAAAACTGACAAAAATATATAAAAGTTCATAAGGCAAAATCAAAAGTGTCCAAGAATAGTTTTTAAAACTGTGTGCGCGTGTGTGTGTGTAAAACAAGGGAGGGTGAAACTTGCCTTACTAGTTATTAAAACTTTAAAGCTGTTGAATCAAAACAATATGATTTTTTTAAAAAAAGAAAACCCAAAGTAAATATTATTGTGATATAGGAATAGGCAAATAGATGATTGGATGATTATAGTTCAGAAATAGACTTTTGACTTTTTTCCTATCCAGTGGGAAAATATGGTTTACTTAATAAATGGTGCTGACATTGTCTATCCATGTGGAAGAAAATAAAATTGGGCCTGTATTACAGTATGTAAAAAAATCCATGAGTTAAAGAAAGGTAATACAAAAGTACTGGAAGAACAAGTAGAATAATTATACAACTTTAGAATAACACGTTTTCCTAAGCAAGGCAGGAAACCCAGAAATCAAAAAAGAAAAGGTGTGTATACTTGATTATATCAAATGAAGTTTAAGTAATTTAAATAAGTAAGGAATTGAAATAAATAACAATTAAATTAGATATTGAATTAACTGTCGTATGGTAAAAATCATGACTAAAAAAGCAAAAGACAGAAAAATACATATTTTTTTCAACCCTCATTTTGGATTGCTACAGTTTGCACTCCCCACCCTCTCTAACCCAGGCTACTCCATTTGTTGGATCCCTTGTTTTAGGGTAGGGCTCATTATTTGGGGAGAATATCTAGGATCCTGCTGTCAACCCAGGCTACTCCATTTGTTGGATCCTCATTATTTGGGGAGAATATCTAGGATCCTGCTGTGAGAGGCAAGGGGTGGGATACCCTGGTGTTGATCCCCAGTTGTACACTGAGTCTGAGTGGACAGGGAAGGAGTTTCATGTCCATCCACGATTGGAAGAGACAGCTGATATGCTGGTGAGGCCTACAAATTTGGGTGGGACCTAGGAACTTGGGGTAAGGCCTCTCGTGAGCCCTTAGAGGTGAGCATTACTATCACCGGCAGTGAATCTAAGTGCAAGTAACTCCCCTTAGGACATCAAAAATGTCACAGGGACATGCTCTCAGAGCAAAAAAACATGAAGTTTCCATTGCAAAAGCCAGCCTGAGAAGTGGGGGCTGTTCCAACAATTCCATGTGACGGGGTATTTGGCAGAGGGTCTTGGAGGCTGCTCTGACACTTTTGGGACCCTAAGAAGGGCGGATCCAGACACTTAAGGCTTGGACCAGCTCAACCTGTCCTGTGACAATTGCTCCCTGGGAATGCTCTGCTGAAGCTGAGCTCACTTACTTTATCAGCAAGCCTCACTGAGAAACAGCATGAGGACTCAAGATGCTTCCACAACATTTGGTGAGGCGGCAGGGAGGCAGGTGTTGAAAGTTTAGCCTAAGGACTTGCCACACAGTTTATGGCCTGTGAAGAAACTCCCCCGGAAGCTGATTAAAGATGGAGTAAAAGAATTCTGTGAGCTAGGAAGCCTTAGTCTCACCTTAGGAGCATCCTGCCAAAACTTTAGAACAGAAATCCCAGTTAGATTTCCATAAGTAGTTTCTCTTTAAAGTCTCCACCCTTTACATACCCAAGCAAAAACAAACATCCTATAAATAAAACTGTAGTAGAAAGAGGAGACTAGAAAGAGGAAAGTAGAAGAGGTGGTGTGAAGTCAAGTTGAGCCTGTTTCAAAAAGAAGGGCATGATTAACAGTATTAACCGCCAAAGAGAAGTCCAGTAAGGTAATGTCTGAACGTCCTTTGGACATTTTGAACTTTCAAAAATTTTGCTGATCTGATAGGTGAAAATAGTAACTTGTTTTAATCTGCATTTGCCTAATAAGTAATGAAGCTGTATATTGTTTCAAATGTTTATTGGCTATTTTTGTTTCTTCTGTGAAATATCTATTCATGTGTTTTGTACATTCTTCTATTAGGTTGTCTTTTCCTACCAATTTGTAGGCATTCTTACTATATCAGGAATATAAACCTGTTTTCAATTATGTGGGTTGCAAATTTTTTCTCTTAGTAATTGGTTTTAAAATTTTGTTCATGAAGATACTTAAAATTGGAAGTTCTCTGACTTCAATTTTGCCCTAGATTTTAACTTTCTTGGTGGTGGAGGGTTGACTGTGGTGATCTTCACTTCTTGACTCAGAGCATCAGACTAAAATGGAGGCTGGGGGAAAGATAGGAGGCAGTAGGCCCTTCGGAAGACAACCAAATAACCCTTTTATATACATACAATAAGGTTTTCTATTTCTTAAAAAAAAAAAAAGGCTTGCAGTGTTTAGGTGAATCTGGAGATATTTAGATATTATGACAATTATTATGCCAATTAGAATATTTTACTTACAAAGGTGCAAACTATAGGGCAGAATATATATTACAAAAATTTAATATAGAAAACCAAGACGATCTCCGAACAATTGCATTTCCTTTAATGTATGACCAAATGTAAATCATTTTGTTACTGGGTGATCATCAAAAACAATGGGATGTGGCATGTAGCACTATTCTTTCTCTTTCAAAAAAACTTCAGACGAGTTTGTCCATCAACTCTCCCAGGGACTTTTTCATACACAAGACGTCGTTTTTTGCATTGCGGTAGTTGTGAGCACATGAAATCTGTTAAAAAGAGAAAAAAGAAAACCATATTATTACAGATAATAATAAAATGTAGCTATTTTCTTTCCAGTTATTTAAGTGGATCCTGTTTCTTCATTATCTATCTACAAAATTTAAAAATTTCCAAACTGGGATAAAATGATGATCATTAAAAATTGAATTTTTTAGCATAAATGCACCTGTACCTAATGGCCTAGTACTAATTAGTGTTATATGTACATATTTGTATGCTCACGCTTTGCACAAATAATTAAACCTCCCTGTATTTTAAAACTAATGTTTTTAAGTTTTCCCTTAGTAAGCCTGTTCCTTAACCCATATCTGTAATATTATAGAATTTATCCTGAACTCTGTTATGTGATATGTGGCAATCATGTACGACCTCACCTTGCATGTGATATACATTAGTGCCTGAAATATCCTAGATTTGAATACTTACCGAGGTCAATTGAGTTAATCAATAAAAAAAGGAGGCTAAAATATTTAAAACCATTTTAGTATTTCTGCAGATATAACTCCATAATTGCAAGAGGTGGATGCTATTATAAGTAAATTTAAAAAGCAATGTAGTAGATAATTTTATTATAGAGATCACAAATATACACCTACAGGACAAATGGAAATTATCTTGATATATGCCAATGCTTTGGATATATATTCTAGGGCTGCTTCAATATGAATTCAAAATGTGTTTTATTGTAAACATATTTGCAGGTAATGATGTGCTATGAAAACCACAGTTAAAAAGTCAAAGGTGCCAGAGCGATAATGAAGACACTAGCATCAAAGATTTATATGAACTGTTTGAATGAAAGTATTTCATGGAAATAATTGGAAAGTGGAAAATTTTTAAAATATATTTTTAAAATATATTTTTAAAATATATTTTTCAATATTTCTAACCAATATTTTTATATGCTTAAAAATAGATTTCTAACTAATGAAATAAAATGTGGGTATATATTAGACTTCCAACTATATTCCTAAAAACTTAAATATTAAAATTTATTAAAAATATTTTCTGAAATATCTTGAGAAAATGAGAGAATTATCTTATACATTGGTGGCCATATGTTCAAGAATATTTAGTAACTGGCATGCTTAATTTGTTCCAGAGTATAAAAAATTTGGAATTTTCAATCAATTCATTTATGAAGCTGGAATAACCTTCATGTAAAAATGTGACAGAGCACAAATAATACAATAGATTAATCTCAGTAAGAATGTGGATATAAAAATCATAATAAATATTAGCAACCATGTTTAACAGCACATTAAAAGAATCACTCCTCAAAGTCAATTAGGTTTACCACAGAAATGACGAAAATGGTTTAATATTAGTAAACTCGTAAATATAATCCTCAGCATTAATAGGTCAATGGAGAAAATATGTTTGATTTTCCCCAAAGAGATGCCCAAAAAGAGTCTGGATAAAATTTAGCATCTATTCCTCACAAAACTTCTTACAAAACTAGAGATAGAATACTTCTCATTAAAATCAAGAACAAAATAAATTATGACCATTAAATGGGACCAAATCCAAATTTTGTGAGTCCTGGATCTTATACAAATTGAGAGGTCCTCTTTAATGAAACAAAGAATACACACGAATTTCTGGTTCCCTCTTAGGTGTCACAAAGGGCCTATGCAAAACAGGAGCTTTGAAGCTTAAGCTTTTCCCTTTCTTTCTTTTTTCGTTTTTTCCTATCATGGTAAAGTCACCTTTGTATGACCATTAAAACTTAACATTTTGTTCCAGATGCTCAGGTCAATGCAATAAGAAATGACACAGAAAGTAAAGGTATAATTACCGAAAATGAGAAAATAAAATTGTCCTTTTAAAAACTGACATCATTAAATGTTCAGAAACATCAGTTGTACAATTGTGCTAATAACAGTATCTATTTAATAGAATTGTCAGAATTAAATAATCCACATAAGGGCCTAGAATGGCACTTGATGTATAATAAGCTCTTAAATTTTAGCCCATTAAATATCCCTGCCTGACAAATAAATTAATTTTCTAGTTTACTGATTTCTTTGTTTAATCTTTGTTGATTTTACCTTCTGCTTTATTTAGATTTGTTCTGTGTTTTTATTTTTAACTTAAGTTGAATGCTTAATTCATTTAAAGCTACAAGAATTTGACATTTTCTTTGCATTTATTTTCTTAGAAATCTGTAATTAGAATTTAATTTTCTTTGACCCAAAGGTATTGACAATTCTTTAAGTGTAATAATTAAAGATTTTTTTTTTAATTTGGAGGTGGTTATACCTTTTTAAATTACATCTAAGCATAGTTTATCAACTGTCGAATCGTGTTACCTGTTAATGATTTCTTGTCTCCTGAGGTTGATGAAGATTCAGACTGCCTTTTCTGTCCTAAACATTTTCCAGTTCTTTGGTAGAAACAAAGACTGTTGTATTCTTTTTGATTTACATTAGAATCAGAGGCATGAAAGAAATCCAAACTGGGAACAGATGGTAATTCTTTCCAGAAACTCTTTTTAGTTCCAGCATTTGAACTTTCACACATGAAGCCTTCTGACTCATCGGATAGACATTTTTGCTGATTAGTGAACAAATTATCTTTCTGAGAGTACCATTTGTCACATGTAGTCTGCTCTGCACCATACTGTAAGTTGAATGGGTGTTTCTGTTGTTCCCATACATTTTTCTTAAAGTTCCTATGAAGAGGCGATTGAGAGCCTTCTAGTGAGAAGATAGGGGCAGATACCTCTTTATTTATAGGTCTTCTTGCTTCATATGTTCCCTTTTTCTGATAATTTATAAAATTAGAGGCAATACGCTTCTGAGTGTCAGTTGATGATATTCTGGTTTCACAATTCATTTGTGTTAGACCCAAAGAAAAGACATCTGACTGTGAATCATTCTGGTTTAGAAAGGAGTTACCGGCCGAGTTCCTTGATTCTGTATTAACCAGAAAAGGATTATTCTGTACTTTGTTAGGGTTACAACTGGAGTCTCTCCAGTATCTGGTCTGACTGTAAGAAGTCATAGGTGGTGAAATACTTGGCATTTCTCTTAGTTCCATAAGGGAAGAATTATAATTTGAAGTGGTGTTTGTGTCTTCCTGCACTGTCTCTCTTAAGTCTGAATACTGGTAATATTCATTATTTTCTTGAATAACAGACTGTGAAGAGTCAGAAGCTGAACTCTGAGAAGAAAAGTTACTAATCCGATTCCTATTTTCCCGAGGAGATGAAATTTGAGGTGATTTTGTTATGGAAGAAGAATTAATCTTGAATAAGGAAGTAGTGCCACAAAAATGCTAAAAAAATTAAAAATTAATTAATACAATACAAATACAATATGAACATCATTCAAGTAAATATAAATAATAATGCTTATCTACATGGAAAGGAAGCAAAATATAAGTAAGTTGTTCATTCATAGGTATTATATTAACTCATGTAATAAAAACATAACATAATTAGGCTCTGTTAAAAGAAAAACATTATAATTTGCATCTATTTTCTAATCACTTGTAATAGAATTTTTAGTTATATAAATACCATTTCCTTGATAAAAATTTAAAAATTTTACCAATAAGGCTAAAGTTCTCTTTAACTGTTATTATAATGAAGGGCATCAGAATTTTTGGGAAGAAATCATGTAAACACATATGAATAGAGTGTATAATTGAATATTTGTGGGCAAAATAACACTTCAAAATGATTTAATGTGTGATAAACTGACTACTGAATTATCTATATAAGAGCTTTAAAATATATAGTATGATTGACAGCAAATGAGAATTTTATATAAAATTAGTTCAAGGAAATTATTTCTTTGCTATATGAAGTCCCAAATAATTACACTTGAATACTTTCATTTTGAAAACCCTATAGGAAAAATAAATACTCAAATGGAAAGGAAATCAACTCATATAAGAATATAGACCTCAAATAACTAACCTTTAACACTTTTTCTGGAACTTCAGGTAGGAGTTCCTGAAGTTCATGAAGCGTCGCTAGTAATATCCAATGTAGTGAAGGTCCTTTATTTAACATGAGCTGAGCCACCAATGGGTTAATACATGGAAAATCAAGTAAGTATGTTTCTTCCTAGAAAAGAGTTTGAGCAATAATAAGCCAGTGGTCTTTTGAAAGTGATTCATTTTATTTTGCCCATTCTATCAGATTCAAATTTTTGTCATTGCACCTACACTCAATTTGAGATGTCTAGGAAAAGTATGGCCAGGAGGGAAAGAAAATTCTTCAGCAGTAAAGATTTGTACATTCTCAGAATTAAGAACTGTACAAATTCAGTACACTTCAATTTAATTTCACTCATCCATTCTTCAGATGACAATTGTTTTATCTAATGGTAGATTTTCTAAAGAGAAATCTTTTAGGGGACTTAGTTTAGGAACTCAAGATTTCTTTAGCTCTCCCTTTGTAGACCATATATTATCACCCTTTGATTAAGATGAACCATGTTTGTGATATTTAAGAGATGTCATGATATCAGGAAAGCCTTGTTGTAAAGAGTATAGGAAGAAATTTTATTGACCAGAATTGAGCCTGAAGTCTAAAAATGTATGTTTTCAGAGAGATCTCATTCTCATAAAAGTCTAGAAACATAACAGCCATCTCTACTATTACCATATTCCATATTTTCCTGGGTTACACTGGCTTTTTGCATCCTCTTTGATGCTTATCAAATGACAGACATGTGAGCAGAATGGACATGTCTTGGTAGGAAGAAAATTACACACACACACACACACACACACACACACAATCACAGTTAATTATACTCATGCTTGCTGATAGTGTTATGTACTGTTTAGGCATGTAAAAGTTCTGTGATTTAATATATGTAAATATTTCATTTTATTTATTCATTTTGTAATTTTAGTTTTTAAATGGGTAAAACAGTCACATGGTTCAAAATTTTAAAGGTACTAAAAGGTGAAAGGTCTCTTTCCCACCCCATTACCCCAGTTCTCCTCTCTGGAGGTAACCAGTATTATCATTTCTCGATATCCTTTCAGAGATATTTTATTAATTTACAAAGAAATTCATATAGATATTAATTTCCCCTTGTTTTACACGAATAATAGTATATTGCATGCTCTGTGCTACAATTTTCATTTTTCACTTAACAATCTATCTTGGAAACTATTCCATATTAGTACATAAAGAGCCTTGTCATTTTTTATGGCTTCATGATTTGAATATATTTTTAAAATAAAGGTAACAGAAACACTGTGTTTGTATGAGAACTTGGAAATATGCTCAAACAAAAGGAATTTCTAAAAATTAACTATTTAAACTTACAGGTACTTTAGAGGTATTACAACTTTACTCTTAGTTTTAATTATGTAATTGAATTACTGACAAATCATGGAATGATAAAATTTTGCTACTCTTTTAATAAATTGACTATTCTTAAATGTTTACATTTAGAAATTAGAAAAAGTTATGTTTTTTAAAATATTAGGTATTAAAATCATGAGATCACGCTATAATAACTTAGATTTGAAAGTTCATTATAAAAAATCTCAATAAAATAGTTCTGTGAAATTGAAAAATACAAATGATTCTGGAAAGTGATATATATGCTCATGCAAGCATTAAGGAACAAAAATATGCTACCAGAAAGGGGATTCAAATATATGTACTTATATTTGCTTTGAAAGATGTAATTTATATATTCAGGAAATAAACCTTAGATGGTGAAACTTCAAGCCAGGATTTATCCAACCATTCACGAGGATCTCTCTTTGAGGTCATTAAATTGTGGTCAGCAATTTGTCGAATTATCAGTGCAGTTTCTTCCACTCCTGGAGACATTATAAGCTAAAAAAATACATTTTTAATGTTAGACTATAGAAAATATTAAAAAGCAAAATATATCATTCAAAAATTGTTTATAGTTAGAAGAAAAATAAAAGCACAGCAGATTCTAATCTTTGAGCACTATTTTAGATATCGTTTATTAATTTGTTTATGTGAAATCCAGGATATTTTATTTGTAAAGATAAGCAATTTTCTTTTCTTTTTTATGATACCCTTATAGTTTCCAATTTTTGGAACTAAATTGTTTTTCTTCACTTCCATTTGATATTTATTAATAAAATACTTTAAATATATTTGGTGTTATATTTCATCTATATTGGAAAAGAAGCAATTTGGATATCACTAGTAATATTTAACATTTTGCTTTTTCTACATTAAACCTAATAGTCTTCAACTAAAATAAGAACTTGAAAAATATAGTGTAGTATTTTTCAAAAACAAAGTTAAAAAAAAGGCTATTTACAGATGAATTTGAAGCTGTATTCAAAAAAAAAAATAAGGTTTTGATTTAGAGTAGCTTTCCTTTGTATTTTTAGAATTGCTCATTCACTCTTAGCTTATTTAATACTAGATACCCCTGCCAAAAATGTGTGTGTGGGGGTGTATTAAAATAAACTCTAAAAAAGAATTTCTTAATTTCCCCTACTTCCTGTCTGTTACTTGTATTTCTCTTAATGCTGTTTTCTCTTCTGAAATGCCAGTCTTTCTCTTCCTCTTTAATTTCTATATTTATCTTCTTTTAGATTCGGTTGAAGGAAAGGTAGTTCATGGATTAGCAGCTTAATGTGGATAGAGAAATACTACCTTAAACAATCATATCTTAGAAATATGAATATCCTGTCCTATAGTAGAAAATTTTTTAAAAAGGACTGTACAAACCTCACAAAATAATTATAATAGTTTTCTCTTTCACAAGAATTTTAAATATAAAACTGTTAGTATATACCTGGAAGTATATGTATTCTAAAGGATTTCCTTTAAATCGTGTTAAATAGATATAGCTGCACAGAAATACACTATTTGAATACAAATTTATTTTATTGCCAAGTTTTGGATGTTTTGAGAATATTTGACACTTCTATTTGAATATAAATTTTACTTTTAAAAGCCACAATTTTATGATGGTTTAATGAATATTAGTTTCTTAGAGCAGAGCTCATGGCTGGACTTTAGCAGATTCAGGAATCACCAAACATTGTTTTCAAATTTTTGCATATATGTGTATCTGTGAATTTTTTTGCAGAGAGTTCATAAGAAATTCACAGAATATTTTTTTTGAAATTAGAATAAAATATAGCATAACACTACTAGTATTTTCTTTTAGATTAAGAAAATGTACTTAAACTTCCTAATATTTCCTTTGTGGCTAGGCTCTTCGGGTGCCTGAGAATAAAAACTCCATTCTGATACACTCGAAAAGGCCAAAAACCATATTACTAAGTAAAGTAAGGTAAAGAAACAATATATTCTAAAATAATATAAATCTAAGGAATCCCCTTTAATGTAATCATGTCATCAGTCAGAAGAATGAGAGGTTTGAGTATTGGTGATATAAGGGTAAGTAGAGTAAATTGATATATAGCTGTTTCTCAAATTCTATGGAAAAAATAACCAACTTTTTAGATTATCATGTAAAACTTGAAACGTCTTTGGCATAGTTTGATTCAGGCGGGATCAAACTTTTGTTTGGAATGGATTGTGCCTGGGTAGTACCTCCTGTTTCATCCTCAAATGTCTTCCTTGGAACATGTCCTCTCTGAATCATGTCACTGTACCTGAACACAATATCACTCATTGATATTATGTTCAGTGTACAGAGAAATAAAAGGATTCTGTAAAGCATATTTTACATATAACTGCTTACCATGAGCTGGGAAGAAAAGAGGCTGATTAAGTGGTGAAACCACTTGAATGGATAAATGAGACAAATTTACATTTGCCATTCATTTATTTAGATAACTTTTCTAAACATTTTATTTTTATGTTTAATATTTATCATATCACAGGACCAAAATAATCTAGATTCAATTTCAAATAGATCATTTGTTGATTTTCTCGACAGGTTGTGCTTTGATTTAATTCTATTTAGTAGATGTTTTTTTGAATATTTTTGATGCATACAAGCACTGTGCTAGATGCTATAGGCTTTACAAAGAAAAAGGGCCTAGTTCTTACCTTTCAGGGTGGAGGATGTATGAATAAATACCTCATATTATAAGAAAGGTGCAAAGTATTATTAGGAGAATGGGAGGAGGAGAGATTTATCCTGATGGTATAATTGGGGAAATTTTCTTAAAGGAGGTAGTGTATAAATTGGGCAGAAAAAGACAGAACTATGAAGGCTGGCAGTAAGAGGACTGAGATAGTATTCCTGGTGGAAGACAGGCCAAAATGACATGTTTGTGCAGTGGCTGAGAGGTAGTAGTGTGGGGGCCTATTCAGAATATGGTGAGTAGAATGATGCTAAAGGAAGATTCACTGGGGGCCAAATTATGGAGGAGTTTGAATCCAGCTTTGTTTGAACTCTATTTTGAGTAAAGTAGGAAGCTAAGGAAGGTCTTTTGAGCAAGAAAATTCAACTCAACGACAAATATTTATCAAGACCCTAGTATGTTCTTGGCGCTTGCACTGTGCCTACTTGTACTGTGCTAGGTGCCAGGAATACAAAAATGAATAAATATGTTCCCATTCCTTCAGAAGTGTACAATCTAGGGAGTGAATATTCATAGCTGTCTTTCAGAAATGTTAAGTAATTGGTGTCAATGTATATTATACACTGGAGTCGGAAGAGTAGAAATGAGATTACTTAAGAAGCTACATTAAAACTCCAAGTGAGAGGTGATGAAGGCCTGAATTTAGGGAAATAGCAGTAAGAATAGAAAGTAGACACATATTCTAGAGACACTGCAGAGTTAAAAGGGGGATTTAGCTATTGATTAGATTAGAATGGTAATGCCATAAACTAAGTTTGGGGGAGGATGAGAAGTTGTATTTTAGACATGCAGAGTCTGAGGTGCCTGTGGGATATTCATGTGGAGATTGCCAGTAGAAAGCTAGAATATAGGTACAGATCTTAAGAAAACTCAGGAAAAAATTTTAAGGATTATACTCAGAAATGAAAGTTAAATTTGTGGGAATGGCTGAGTTTATCAATGAACATAAAGTGATACCAGAAAAGTACTGAGGCCCCAGATTGGAGGAATGTCTAAATTTCAGAGCAAGGACCACTGAAAAAAAGAGCTAAGAAAAGAGATTGATTAGAGATCACAAAAATATTAGTCTATTCATGTATCACAAGATTTCCATTTTACAGCAGATAAAAACTTAGTAATCTTCCATAAGTGAGCATTTTAATCAAGGGATATTTATTTTTAATCATATTCTTCTATGTTTCAAAAAATCCAAGTAGTAATTAAGAGATAAAATATGATTTTAAATTCATTAAACTAAAGGCTTTTAGAACAGAAGTTTAGGTGGAAAGAATATTCATTAATTTGAAAACCGTTCTTTATTTGGCTTTTAAGCAGTTTTTAGTTTGCCCATTTAATGTCTTTTTTTCTCAGGGGGAACATGAATTTGAGTATAATTTTGGTTTATGAAAAATACTTATGAACAAACATATGGGAAAAGAATACCTTTACATCCAGTTCTTCTGATTTTAGCCCAGATGAAACCAAAGCTGCATAAATCAATGCTAAGTGATAAAGTGTCTTTTCCGTAAGATGGTACCTAAAAAGAATTATATTACTATGCTTCCACTCATTGGATATCTGGTTATACTTATTAAAAATTCATTTTTTCACATTTCATAATGTTATTAGAATAACCTGGCTAAGATAATACTAGTGTGGCAGACTCATAGTTTTTTGTCTACTTAACACTTTTCGAAAAACGTTTCCACCTCTATTCTTTAATAAGATTGTTCAATCTAGGGAATGCTGAAGTGGGAGGTAGGGAGAAGAAGGGGAGAAATTTAACCTATCCCCTTACTGGCCAGTGCCTCGGCATGGATTTTTTTTTTTTGTAATTATTCCATAACGCACATTAGTAAAATAAAGTATAGCAAGATGCTATTTAGTTGCTGTATGTAATAAGATTTTAGAGACAAGTGATTTAAGAGTGACTTAACTTTTAAAAGACAAGTCCAGAATTAAAAAGTAATAAGATGTGAGACACGTAAAGCAGCAATTCTTAGTGAGGTAGAGAGGGGAAGATGATTTGCACAGAATGTCCAGAGGAAATATACCAACTCCGAAATTCTGATTTGATTTCCTATGGGCATCCTCCACCTTGAGGATCGCTGACTTTACATGACCTTCCCTGTATCTCTTTATCTTTCTTTTTATTTCTTCCCTGACCCAGTTATTCGCTGACTTTAAAGAACTAGATGAGCAAGGGGAAAATTTGCATTGCTACTTCTGTTCACAGAAGAGGACTGAATAAGTTAAAAAATATAAAAGTGACTTTGGGTGAAAAAATGTTTACTTACTCCGAGTTTAATGTATTTTTGGTATACAAAATTATCCAACAATAGCTGTACTGGAATGATAATGCCATCAGTCTCATAATGATATTGTCTGATGACTTCTCACAATTCAATTCTTTTAGGTCCTACCAGAAAATAAATAAAATAAAAAGATTCACTAGGTTGAATAGTTGTTATGGAATTATTACTACCATATTTCAAGAATCTATGATATATGTTATAACTTGAGAAGAAGCATGGGTATGGGCTTCCATTTTATGAAAAAATTAAAATCACACTGGAAGTAGTAGGGAGAAAGCTACACTAGATGTAATACAGTTGGTGATAGCTTCACCAAAAAAGACTCATAAGTGTCTCAAAGCCCTAGATATGAAGAAAGCAGTCTACAGAATGCCCCTATTTGGGCAAAGTCCTTTATAGACAGGGATTTGGCTACTTCTAAAGGCAATAAAAAATATGTTTAAAATCTCATGGGATAATTTGCTCTGAATACTTATTTAAGGAAGATGAGAAAGCAGCAGTTCATGGACTTCTAGGAATCTCTTTTTTTTAATTAAAATTATGAGGGTGACATTGGTTAATACGATCAAACAGTTTTTAAGTATACAATAATACGTCATCTCTATCTAATGGTATAGAATTCTCTTTTTCCTTTAACAAAATTAATTTTTGAATAAGTCAGGAACTGTTTTGCTCTAACAGTTACTTATGTAACTATGAATTAAAAGTTTTCCCAAACATTTCCCCCAAATAATGTTTTTTTTAAAAAAGAACCTTAAATATTCAAGACACAATATCTCTTAAGAACCCCTCCAAGAGAGCTTTGTGTGTCCATCATATAATTCTTATACTGTTAACATTTGTTCATCAGTCAGACTTCTACCTTACCATAATATTTGCCATTAATTTATACTCCATGCTCTCAAACTGATTTCTGCTCCCCAATCTCACCCTATTAAAACAATTTATTTGTAATTTGTACTCCAATCAAACAAATATATCAGGTAGATTAAGTCAAGAATTTATACATCTTAATTTCTAAACTATATGGATTCTTTAAGAGAATTTCTCTCATTTTGAAAACCAGCTTATTTACAGGCAGTCCCTACTTACCTTAGAGGAAATCTCATATAACCAATCATGAATTAATATACTACTGCCTTTTAAGAAACATAGTGACTAGAATTTAGTTTTTAAACTTTTTAACACTATAATTATTCTATAAATGTATTTAAAATAGGTCAATATGCAATATTAAAATATTCTATATTTTCTTTGTCTTCTTAAAGTATGTTAAAAATCATAGGGCATCAAGGAAGCTTGATAATAGTTGTTTTCCACGGTGGTGATTTTGGCACTTGTGGCCCATTTGCAAAGTTTTGGAAGAACTCACTAATAGATTATAGTTAAGCTCTCTACAGGAAAGCTAATAATATATTGCATGGTTATATATATTTTAATATATTCAATTTACATTTTTCACTATATAGTTTTACCTGCAAAATTATGGCAGTGTGTTCATCAATCGTCATCAGTACATAATACTCTGTACCACCAAAGAGTTTCAATGACTCACTACAGCATCTCTCCACTAGTGTGATATTATATCTGTAAAATACAATAACTTGGGATGATATAATGAAATGGCTAAGAAAAATTCTTTTAGAAAAGCTGTATTATCTTCCTGCATATTAAGTTATTTGAACTATTGTGCTTTTTCTTTCATACATCAATCTATTCTACTTTATAAGTTTGAAGAATGAAATTATGATTTACTCAGCATATACAACAAATTAATTGAGATACATGTCTCATTAGGTATTTTGCTAAATATTACTGCACTTAATACTATTATAAATGTCTTAACCAATTTATTCTAGCTCTTTAAATAATAATTCATGAAACCCAAACATGCTACAAGACTAAAACATTCTGCATTCATCAGAATTTTCTGTTCTTTCTCATTAACACTGGCCTAGATTTTAATTACCTTTATTAGTTCATAGTTTTCTGTGAATGTCCCACGTACTTAAATACAAAAACAAAAGTATAGAAAATAGGTCTGCATTTTAATTAAAGTCATAGCACAGTTATTCTTCTTTGTGATACAGCTTAATGTCTATGACAACTCGTGTGCTATGATAAAATGTTTTATATGATTTAAAAATGCTCAGTGTTGGTATGACCTTAGAACTAAAAGTCTAAAAACTTTACATTTAGACCTTTACAGTCCTGTTTCCCAGGCATTATTTAAAGTCTTCTAAATAAGAATGCTCCTTCTCAGTATTATCAATGACCCAAAGATATGACCATATAATTCACAGAAAACCCACATAAAAACTCTTATTTGCTAGTAACAAAAGAAATGCAATTAAATTATAAAATTTAAACAAAAATGAATTTTTTCCTCCACAAAATTAATATATATCACCAAAAAAGATAACATTCAATAATTATGATGGTGTACTAGAGGGAGAGACATAACCCTCCTGGAAAACCATTCTTATGTGATATAATTCCAGGCTTTAATCAGAGAGAAATAGTGAAACATAGGCAACATAATATTTAGCCACTAGGATGGTTAAAGGTATATATATGTATACACCTTTGCTAAAGTTATTAAATCAATAACTTACTTGGATTCTAGCAACTGAAGAATTTGTGGAGTATTAAGAAGTCCTTCAGATGCAAAAAACACATATGGAATCTGAATTTCCAAAAGAAAACCACCAAAACTATCCAGCAAAGTGCTTCCTAAATAAGAGAAAAACTTATAAATATTTCTCTTTTTCCTCATACCCCAGCTCTTTTTATTTTTTACTAAACATGAGAATAACAGGTGTATGTTCAAAGAGTAGTATAAAAATAAAACATATTCAGCATAAAAAATCAGAAATCAGAATAAAGAAAGGTCTAAAGAATAAAAACCATATGTTATCCTACTACTTAGAAATAAAATTGAGTTAACAGATTTTACTAAAACTACTATATACTAAAAACAGAGGTTAGTACACACTTCTACTTTTTCTATATAATTGCGTGTCTATACGCACACATGTACACTCACTTAAAAAAAAGAAAAAATAGGATCATATTCTACCTGAATATTAAAATATGCTTTATTCACGTAAGTATATTGAACATTTACTGTGTAAACAAATTTAAAATTATGCACAATAACCCATAAGGAATGATATAGATCAATAGGAAAAGAATAAATACTTCAATAGATAAATGGACAAAGGACATAAATAGGCAATATTTACAAAAGAATGGCTATCCAAGATCAGTGTGCATATGAAAAGACATAGGTTATGAAAGATATGCAAATTAACACTATAAAATACCTTCTGCCTATAATTATGTCAAAAGTTTAACAAACTAATAATACCTACTTATAGTAAAGATATGGGGAAAAGGATCCTCTCACATTTTCTGCATAAATGTTAATTGGGATTAGCATTTCTGGAAGGATATTTTGGCAACCTATAAAGGTGTGTATACCTTTAACCCACCAATTCATTTTACTTTTTGGAATTCTTCTTTCTTAGAACAAGTATATAAAGATATATAAGATATAAAAACTACTTTACCTTGCAGTATAACTGTGGAAAGTTGAAGCACTGTAAATGCCCCAAATAAGGAACTGGTTGAATAAATTAAGTTCATCTTTGGGGTTATGGAAGAAACCTCTAAATATTAACTAGGATGCCTTTCTTTTATCTTTTCTTGGGCCTGTGTTTCAATTATTTAATCAACTTAACATTCAATTTTATATATCAAAGTAATAATTGTAGTATTTAGTTTCATATATCAAAGTAATAATTGTAGTGTATTTTAGAATTGAGTTCAAATATCTCAGAATTCAAACTTCCCACTCATACTTGAAGTAGATAGAAAGTAACTTATGGCAAATATTGAAAAAGAGATGTGCTGAGACTAAATATCTACAGGTTTTTGAACGTCAAGAATCTGAGAATTCACAACTTTAGTCATGTGATGTGAGGAACACAAAGAAACCAAAGGAAGGGTATACAAAGTGCTTTTAGACTCTTTTCTAAGTATGTTTGTATAATTTTCTGTTGCATATTAAAAGTTTTCTGAATCAGTCAACATACTATTACATATTTTTTCTCTAAAATTCAGTAAAATACTATTGGATAAAAGTATCAAATTAATATTAGATATAATTGTGATAAAATTGCACAAGTAAAATTTATAAGTTAAAGGGATGAAGATAAATATAAGCAATAAGGCTTATTTTATAAATGGGGAATATGAGGTAAGAGATAGTTAAAGGACTTGCTCGATGTCACATAGATGGTGGTAAGGAAGCTTAGAGCTTGAACTCAAGTCTTCTAATGTCAGCTTACTCTCCATAGATCAGAAATTGAAAACAGAAAATTTTCATTCTAATGGAACAGAAAAAGGATTTTAATTTATATTCTTACTATTTAAAACTGTATCTGGAAGAATCACTTTAAAAGCCATGTATGGAATATTCAACTTTTCACAGTGTTTAGTCCAACAAGAGTTTTCTACATAATTGTATTCCACGACAAATGAGAAATTACTCCAGGAGAAATCTGCTCCAATGTATTCATTAGGTACGACTACACAGGAACTGTTACTGAAATAAAAAGAAAGCCAAGAAAATGGAATTATACTTGTATCATTACTTACACAGAACGCTAAAAGATAACTGTTTTGGGCTTACTTTATTTTTCTCTCACCTATGCCTTCTTATTGTGGAAAAGCATTGGTGTATTTACTATTGATTTTTTCTCCAATTGTGTTAATCTCTTTTTACTTTTCTTTTTGATGGTCATACTGTGACTATTTTATATCCTCAAATGCAAAGGACCCTAATTTTATTACCTGAGTCCTGGCAATAACAGACAAATCACCCTGATAAATCAATCTCATTTTCTTATAAATGTAAGGTTTTAATCTTCGAGAATCTATGTAATAGAATATTACCTAACAACTGTGAAATGGGTTAATTTTTTTTCTCAGGGGGCTTCATAAGTGATTTAATAACAACAAAAAATGGGTTCTTAAATATCACAACTTTATCTTTCCCATCTTCAAATTTTACGTAATAGCACTTACTGTAATTAAAATTTTCTACTGCTGCTTTTTACCCAGAGTGCTCTAGATAGCTAGAAGTTAAAAAGTATCTATGTCTAGCTTTGATAAGATTCTATTTGATTTACATCTTCTCTTTTTATTATTTAGATCCCAATATTAGAAATAAATAATTTCTACATAAAATAAGGCAAAATAAAAACAAGTCAACACTGAATTTATTATTAGCAGGCCCTTATTGAAAGAATTTATAAAGGATGTGCTTCAGGAAGGAGAACCCAAAACAAAGGGAGGAGATATAAGAAACAATCTTGAGCAAAAAAACCTGCTAAAAACTAGTAAGCCTAAATAGGCAATCCTGTACTAACAATAACAATAAAAATGATAATTTGGGGATATTAAAGAAAGGTTAGACTAAAATTCTGTACAATAACTATATATAACAAAAGGCAATAAACTGAATTAAAGCGCTCTATGTAAAACATTTTTCAGGAAGAGGGTAGAGACATTGATTAATTGCAGATTTTATTAAACTTTTTAAAAAAATTAAATTCTAGGAGAAATAGTGTGTTCTCTATAGAACTGGTATATTTGCTCCCCAAAAATAAAGAAATACATTTTTACCCATTTAAAACACCTTCAGATTCCAGAAAATCTTTTCTTTTGTTTGAATGTAAGACAGTCAATGTTAAACCTGTTGGGAAAAAGAGTAATACGAGAAAGGGATTTTTCATTGTTATGTTCATATGTATTTTTTAGGCGTGTCATGTACTTCACTACCACAAAAATGAATTAAATATCTGCAAACAAGGAAATCAAAATTGCTTAAAATACAATTCTTATATTACTGTAATTTAATAGTTAACTTTTACTAACTGCACTAATAAGCAGATATTTGTTGCAATATTTGTATATATTTCAGTTCAATCTTTTTCACTAGTCTTAGTCTATACTAGGTATATAGGGAGGCATTCATTATTAGCTCATTCATACATTCATTCATTCAATAAATCTTTATTTAAGTAACTTCAATGTTCTAGGCATTTTTGTCGGTGCTGGGAATACAAATTAGGGCATGGTCCTTATCCTCCAGAAGCGTACATTTTAGTGAGGAAAAATCAGTTAACAGAATCATTTATTATAGTCCAGGATGGTAAGTATGCCAATAATACCTTGATGCACAGAGGAAAATCATTTAAATCAATGCTTCCTGAATAAATGTTTTAACTTATTTTTAAAGGATGTGTAGGAGTTAGCTTCCTAAGGAAGGGAGAAGAGCATTATGATAGAAGGAAGAGGAGGTGTAAAGGCACGGAGATATGAAACAACATGGGAAATAGTTTGGTAGGACTAAAGCAAAGAAATATTTTGGGAGATGGCAAAAGATGCAGTTTATAGACAGTGGAGAAATAGTAAACAAAGGGTGACACAGGTTGAGGGTGGTATTTTATTTTATTTTTAAGACTGAAGAGCTTA